GAAGACTAATGATAAGGAAGGGTACATTGTGGTATTGATCGCAAGAGATCGAGTGAGATCAAAATAGGTCTTATATACCCGAATGGCTTTTGCTGGATAAGATGAGGTTGTGGCATAATTAAACGATTAAGCTCTGCAAATAACGCTCGTTGAAAACAATTTTATGAATATGTTACTGGAAAAAAAATGCAAGGATTTAAAAGGAGGACATTTTCGTGCAAAAGGAGGATGTAGAAAAATTATTGGAAAAGTAGGACATGTCCTCCTTTAGGAAACCATATGGTAACCCTACACTCACTAGAGTTGGATTGCAGGTTACGCATGTAATCATCACCTCAGGAGGGTTATTCATAAATTAAATTCTTATATAATGCTAGGAAACACCTTCAGATAAAAAAAATTTACAACCAAGTCTTGTCTAAACGCTTCTCCATTTCCAGTTGAAGTTCATTGAAGCTGATCCAGAACTTGGACATTCAAGCCACCCGAACAATGTTGACTGTCGAACCGGAGCATCTCTCGTTTAAACAGCATCTTGACTGACGAAGGTACGACTTCCTTTATTATTATAGCGCAACAGCCAAAGGTGCTACTTAGAGAGGGGTTTTAAGATAAGAGAGAAACGTATTCAAAACAAACGACCTTGGCACCCTATGCCTAAGTGGTTTCTACCAACACTGTCATTTCAATCAAAATGTGCGTTGCTCGATTGGTTCTGGCTTTGACAGTTGGGTTGGCTTAAAATCAACCAGTCCGCTTCTTTCTTATCCTAGACCCTCTCTAGTGCTACGAAAAGCTCAAATCTGGGCTTAGTTATTTGTTTCAAAGGTGCGACCTTAGACATTCGTCCTTCCATTTCTTCACGTAAGAGCTAGGTTATTTACTCACCGATTTTATGCATTGCCATTGTGCACCAGTTTTAACATTGAACTTACGAGATTGGGTTTGATGGTTTTGACAATAAGCTCAAACGAAACGTCGTCATCTGAAATTTAATGTTGTTAAATTCAAATTTATTGGATTTATCTTAAACTGATGTATAGCGTCAAATTGGTATGAGGTCTGAACAAGATATAGTGGCAATCCATGTTTATAATTTTCTCCAGTAAGAATGCGATCAAACGTAGAATCGATCTTACCTCCTGATCAAAATCTGACACACTTACCCATCTTGTGATCACGGTGGATCTGATCCTATTGAACCAAGTGATAACCAGATAGTAAAGACAATACTAGTTGGCGCCAGCATCAGTGGTTTAAAAATGCTTCGCGCTAATGGCATAGTTCCCCTGCCGAAGAGCATTCCACAATGGTGTCTTGGTTAGCTTTAGTTTTGTAATACTATTTGAATTATCATTTGTCAACAGGATCTTTTGAAGCCTTAAACACTTAATTCAACCAAATTAAGCAACACCGCTTAATTGATACACTTTCATTCATACAAAAGATGGGATGGGATTATTTTTTACTTGAAAATAGTACCCTGAAATGCACAAATTTTAATTGACAACGACAAAAAAAAATGGAACTCCATTTCCTGCTCATTAAATTATTGTTCCGACCCTAGCTCTTTTCTACTAAATACAGTTTCACTCAAACTATCTACTTTCTATCCTTTGTTTCAAGAATAAAGGAGCACATATGTGAGAGGCCCCGTTAAAAGTACTGAACAAAGTATCCAGTACCCTTAAACTCCCGCCACAAACCCTGCCAATCACATATGTGCTCCTGTTCTAGCTCCTAACTGATTAAAAATGCTTCTCAGGGTGGTATCACATTTCCCGAAGATTCATTTCCCAAAATGGACCATTTACATGAAAGTATAAAATTATGTGCTTTCAAAACGGAAAAAGTTATTTCTTTATTCAAAATTTTGCTAATGGGAATATTGTCTTCTTTATTCAAATATCATTTTAATATATTTAACAATAAGCAAACGAAAAAGATAAAAACAAAAAAATAACAAAACAACGCAATCAACATTCAAAGAAGAAAATATTCCCATTTCAATTTTTTTTTTAAAGCTTTCTTAATTTAAAAATTCTTAAACGAAAATATTGCCGAAAACGTTAAACTGATCAATGGCCCAATCTGAAATTAAAATCCGGGAAATATGATACCACTCTTTTAACTAGCTAGCTACTATAAGTGAATGGTAAATTTTGAGGTAGCTAACTAACAAGCTAAAAGGAGCACATATGTGATAAGCCCCGTTAAATGTACTGAAAAGTCACCTCTATTACTAATTTCGATCGAAACTGATTTTCAGTTTCAATCAAAATCATCAAAAGGGTTGACTTTTCAGTACCTTTAAACTCCCACCACATTCCCTGCCAATCACATATGTGCTCCTGCCCTAGCTCCTATCAATCTAACTGATTTTTTTTCTACAAATATGGTACTATATCTAAACCCTATCACTACTACTCTGAAATGCAACGATCGAGCTCACGGTAGTGGTCCTTCGAACTCCATAAACAAAAAGATCTTCGATGATAGCATTCTGCCACATCGATTGGTTTGCTCGAAAGCACGGTCCCTAAACGAATTTTATTCACCAAAAAGTCCCTATCCGGTGTCAATGGGTTCCGAGGAATCTTCGTAGTAAAAATGGTAGCTCGAGGTATTCATTAGTACCCGGCTACAACACCTTTACTCGTCAGGAAACCTCGGAGAAGCTAAGAAATTTTAATGAAATTCGTTGGACCACCAGTGAGCTCGATCTGATAACAAAAAAGAATACCAAACTACTAGACGAAATTTGAAATTTCCATTAAACCGAGGGCCATGGCCGAAACCAAAAAAGTCAATCCTAAACATTTCCAGCTAAACATTCTCTTTACCAAATTTGGGTTGGGCCCACTGGAAATTTTTTCAAGCAGCACAGTAGGCTGCTTTGAAACTGTCAAATTTTGATCATCCTCGGTTTGCATGCCTGTATTTTCTCGCAGGGTACAGTGCTCCCAAAATCCAGCATACACAAAATTCAACTGAGTACGCTGCAGTTTGGGAGAAGTAGTTTGCGTATAAACGTTAGCAGTGTCCGCTACATACGTCACACGCTCCAAAAGTTCATGGTGTGTCTTGGCGTATGCTTCAAACACTGCTACCGTTGTCGTACATTGCTGTACCCTGGCTATTCCTGCTGTCAGAACCGAATCTACATCGGCTCTGCTGCACCTAAATTCCTCACAAAAATTTAGTTTCTTTTCTTCCACCTTATCTCCTAATTCATCATTTATTTCTAACCCTACTCTCTCACAATTATCACCTAAATCTTCCTTAACATTATCCGCGATTGAGGCATTCTGGGTAATTCCGCTCCTCTCAAATCCCTCACCAATCATTAGTTTCCTAGTAGATGCTAAAAACGGCCCCCGGATATACTCACCGACCGATGACCTTACATTGTCATACTCATCGGTTACCGGTAAGTTTTTAAGCATTTCCCAGCGATCCTGCCTTTTTGGCAGCTTCGGCTTTGAAGAAGCCGCTTTTATACGCTGGTAAATGGCCGTTAGCTTACCATCCGGGTCGGCACGCATGAAATCCGGCAAAGACACCGGTCTAACATTCCGACTGGACCGGGTCTGCCGAGCATCGCGGCCATTTTTCATCTTACTGGGAAACATTTTTTCTTGAACCGCCTTGATTGGAGAAATTGGGAGAGCTATCAAACGTACGTCCGCTTTGAATTCACCTCAGAAGCCTCTTAACGATTTTTAGCAGCAGGCTTCCTTATATAGACTTCTGGCGTGTGAAAATTTGGTTACGAGGGTGTTGCTATGGTAGCGACTATGGAAGGGATGCGCAGTGGGTGAAAATCGTGAAAATCGGAAAATTTGATCAACGTAGGCGTGCATGTTTTTTCTTCAGTGAAACGTCAATTTTTTTCACGACGCATCATCCACTGAGCAAAATTATACGGACAATGGTGTAGGATGGATGAGGTCTCGAATATAATTTTTCCAGGAGTGTGCTTGCTGGTGAGCACCCATAAGTATCTACACAATTAACGGTGAAACCAGAAGCCGGAATGGAGTCGTATACATTCCGGATGTTGGTGCGCTTCGGTTTATTCCTCGGTAGTTCCCGACCGAATTCATCAGAAAAACAACGTCCATTGGTTCTATAAGTAAGTCAAATTAATGGTGTTTATACAAGATTAGTGAAAAGGGAGGACCGTGCACAGTCGCGGAGTATGCCGATTTGTGAAAAACTTTGAATTTTTAATTTATAGCCTAAAATAAGTCTCTCCCATTGGTTGGTTCAAATCAAAGAGTTTGAATGACCCTGACCTATGCCATCGTACTTTTTCGGATGTGATGGATCAGAATGACTTACACTTTACAGTATCTACATGTTCTTCTTGTTTCAGAAATTCATCAATTCTTTGTCACCAAACAATACCAAGCAGATTGCAAATTACAGAAATCTGAATTTCGTCGAAATATTGATTAAATGAGGTATGTATTTTTCAATATAAGTTAGTTTGATCTTAAATTTCAATTTCTCAAACTCGATTCCAGCTCATTGAAAAATGGTGCCGTATGCAAGGCCAACAACTACAACAAACAAAACTCAAGTCCGTGCCGGACGACTTCTTGACCATGATGATGGATCCGGAAACGGGAATAGCGCCTCAGAACTTGAACAATAAGCACGAAAGATCCTGGATAATCATCCTTACTAATCGTGCCAAGATCAGAGAGCAAAGTTTGCGCATCAAACATCTTAATGATAGAATAACAACGGTGGAAATCGCTGGTGCACGGAAGGTCATCGCCAAAAAATCATCAAACGGGATCTGTTGGAAGGTCGCTTGGATGTTCACCAAATGAATCGAATGAAGGCTGGGAACAGATCAATGTATAACTCCGTCATTGTTACACTGAAGCTCGGCGGTATGCGCGTAAACAAGTGTGAAGGGATTGATATTTGCTGTTGAAATCATCTGAAATGTTGATTAAAGTTGTTTGCACTGACAAATTGGATGTTGATGAAAATCAAACTTGTTTATTTTCTACTGAGTTGTGGTTGAAACCAGATTCATTGGAGGGTTTGCATTGCTGTTCTGTTACTTCAAGTGCCCAGGGTTGTAGTTCACCGGAGGCCCAGAACCAGTAGACTAGGGTTCCAATAATGTAGATTCCTACGGCGATGTAGAACACCAGCCGCCACTCATCTTCGCTGTTGTTGGTTGTAATATATCCCGTAACGATGGGGCTTATGACTCCGGAGATGGCGGCAAATCCGTTGGTAATCCCTATCAGAACAGCTGCACTTTTCGGAGAAAGATCTAAGGGGTTCAGCAGGTAACCGCACCATGCGACTCCACCTATTCCAACGGCCAGAGTAACGCAGATAATCGTAGGAGCGGGACTTAAGGTCAAAGCCCCGATCAACATGCATATAAGCTGAACGATGAATGCTCCGCAAGTGAAGTACTTCCGGACCTGGGTGGTGCTGAGGTAGCCGTGGATCTGCAACCAATCAGCCAGATATCCGGATGTGCTCAGAATGATGCCCATCGCCAGGTATGGAAGAGCGGATAGTATTCCCGAGTCCTGCAGGTCGAAGTCCAGGACGGCTGAAAGGGATAAAAAGTTGAACTGTTGTAAGATTCCTTTACAGACTGAGCTAATGTAGGCATTTTACAAATGCTATCAAAACCTACGACTGGAAGTTGTATTGATCATAATTTATGACTCACTTTGCGGATCTCAACGCTACGAACATGAACGTTTAATTTAATGCCTTCAATGGATTGTTCTTTGAGCACTTCCACAGTTGTTATCTGAGAGCTCTCTAAGCTTATAAACCATTTACATTTATATATTTTGGAAATCTATTGTATTACCTAACTCATCTCTTCTTATCTTCTCTATAAATTAAAATGAAATTATGTTCGTATGTCACGCTATAACTTAAGAATGGATTGACGGATTTGCAAGATTCTTTTTTATTTGGATCGTCTTGGGCACCGATGGGTTTATATCAAACAACTATCGTTTGCAGGGTCAGCTAGTAACGAATATACTGCCGCTATTCGCATGTCCGTCCCATAGCGAAAATCAGCAAGCCGAGAAAATCGCGTTTTATGTTAGCTTCGTACCATTGCTTCTTATGTGATGGGACAACTAATTTGACTGTCTTCTCAAACTTTTTCAGAGCAAAGTTGTTGAGTTCATCCAGTATTGTGAAAATATGGGTGATTATCTACCATTTGCATTGAAAAACTCAGTTTTGACAAAAACAACTATGGGACCGACATGCGAAGAGCGGCTGTATAGGCAGTGCTGGTGTCGTAAAATATGTACTTAGCCTCCTATACAATATATGATATGACGGGGTGTCTGCTGCATGAACATACCTAGTAAACCGGGAATTCACGGGGAATTTGATTTTCCTTGAAATATATAGTCTAGACTTTCCTGTTGTTATTAAAACTTTCCAAAAGATTTCAGAATTGTATAAAAGTTCCCAAGGCTGCTCTGAATATCTCAGTATTTTTATAACTGCAGATCAGTCTGCATTATGAAAGATTACCTGTGATTTGAATTGCTGGGCAGTTACACATTTTCAGAATAATACTTAATAAACCTGATGTCTTGACAAAGTATCCAGAGTAGATTATGGAGATCTTTGATCATCTGAAAGTCTTTGGAATAATTCTCAATCAAACTACATTCTTGTGAGAATATCTAAGAGATTTATTGAATAATTAGAGATCTTCTGAAGATTATCCTACATCTCTGAAAAAAAAATATCTGAGAAATATAATTTGAATTACTGGACAGTTAGAGATCGCTGGAGATGAACTAGCCACAGGCTAAAAATCTCCTTAATAAAGAACTAAAAAAAAAGTTGGAGATCTTTAGATTAAAATTAGATCAACTGGAAGACTTCTTTAATCATCAAAAGAAAATTATTAAGGGTCTTGATCAGCTGACTAATTCCTGATCATCCTGTTTTTTTTTGCGAGAATATCTAGAGGCATGGTTTGATTTATTGCACAATTAGAGATCTTTAGAAAAATACGTTATTAACCATATGAATCACCAAATTATCCAAAGAACATTATGAAGGTCCTTGATCATCTTAAGGTTATTGATCAACCTTCTTTTTGGTGATAATGGGGCTTATTACGGATGTCACTTTACGGTGAAAACTTGTCACTTGTCGTCACGGTGAAGCGATTCCCATTTGATTTGCACGGCAATCACGGCTCTTATTATGAGTATTACTTCCTTATCACCGTGAAAAAGAGACATGATTTGTTTTATTTTACAATCAATCTTCATAATAATAAGCAGAATATTCAGAATATGTTCAGAGCCACCTGGAATTACGAGAGACAGTTGGACAGTTGAAGATCTTCAGAATAATATCTGATCATTATGAAAAGTTGACAAAATATCCAGTGGACCTCATCAATATCTTCGATCAACTGAAGGTTTATGGGATAATTTTTGAGCAACTTGGTGTCATAAAAGAAAATCTTAGAGACGTAGAGATCTTCAGAATAATACATGATAATCCTGAAGTCTTGAAAAATATCCAGCATTTCTCATCAATATCCTCGTTCACTTGAAAGTTTTTGGAATAATTTCTGAGTTAGCTGGTATCATATGAGATCATAATATCATCAATAACCCTACCGCTGCCGCCGCGAATAAATTGCGCCAGTGTGGTGGAGCATTAATGATATTTTGCTCCAATATCACACGTGATATTGAGAGAATATGAGAACGTAAAATATCAATTTCATACACAGAAAAATATAACTGCGATCAGTTCGTAGTTGGGCTTCGGGATGAATTTTCACTCCTATTCAATTAATCATATTGTCGAGCAGTTTTGGGACGACCTTCTACCAGCGATTTTAAGGAAATGAAGCAATCAATTTCAGATTTTTCAAGCATTTTACAAATAAGACCCTATTTTCTCGAGGTTGTAGAAGAAAAAATATTAAAATATTGTTCCACGTTAAAGTTCGAGTGGTAGGAAACGTCATTTTAAACTGCTCGAATGATGTGATCCATTTCAGACGTTCAACATCAAAGAGAAGGACTTACTTTTCAAGAATGTCGGTAGGCCGGTTAGCAGAAGATAGTAGCCCCAATCTTCGGAGATGTTGGCAATTGACATGGCAATAACAGCTTTCGAAGTGAGCATCCTAATCCAAGGGTGCCGAACGTTCTCCTTATCTTCCTTTTGTCTTCCCAACATAATAAACTCCTTCTCCTGTTTGGATATCCGATTATCATCTTCCGGGCTTCTCCTCACCATCAGCACCCAAGCAACGTGCCACAGACATGCGATCGCTCCGAACACGTAGAATACGCTCTCCCAGCCCCACGCATCTGCGAGAATTCCACTAACCATCATCGTGACAACAGTTCCAGCGAAAGCTCCCGTCAAAGCTATTGCAGATAGCCGAGACCGTTCGCCAAGGGGTGCCCAAACTGACCAAATCGCGTGACCACAGGGAAATGTAAGTCCTTCGAAGGCTCCTTCAAGGACGCGTACTGCTATGAGCCACCCAACGCCTTGCCGTGCCAGTAATGGTGTCAACAGGGTGAGTATTGCCGTTGCACCTATTCCTACACCGAAGACCTTTGAAGAACTTATAACTTTGCTAGTTAGGTACGAAATAAAGAGACACACATACATTTGTTCCGCCAAATCTACTGGATAAGTAACCTCCAAGCACTTGAGTCAGGATGTAACCGTAGAAAAACGAGCTTAGTACGTATCCTTGAACGCTAGAACTCCAGTCGAACTCCCGTTCCTGAAATGATTCTTGCCTTCATTATTGATCCGCTGCTTTGAATAACTGTACACTCACAAATTCCACAGTCCCATTCGGATGCATCACTTCGCGAAGGTCTGTCATGGCCACGATCGCTACGCTTAGATTCACTCGCAACGAGTACATGTTGAAGTATCCCAGGAAAGTCATAGCGACCACCATGTATCGCTGTCGTTTCCAGAACATCCACAGGGGAGTGTCGATTCCATCGCTAAAAACAATTGTGCTATTTAAAACCCAACAAAGTACCACTCACCCGGACTTGACTAAACCTTATTCTAATGCTCTTGGCAGCATCCATCGCAGACAACTCGTAACTTTACGCTCAAACTCACAGAGAAAATTGTGTTGGCGCCCTTTATAATCAGTACCAATCAACAGATTGCCGGGATTCTACTGTTCATTGAATGAGCTCAACCTTTCAATCAAAGCGGATGCTGGCCGCCGATAACCGATCGATTGGATTGGCGTGTGACTAAAATATTCCAAGAAATTTCCTAAACATTCCTATCTACTGCTCCGCGAACAAACTACGTCTGAGAAGCGCTACTTAATTCCACAGGGGCTGGCATGGCTGATAAATGTACAGAGCGAATTTAGGAGACGTGCCAATTTTTATGAGCGGTCTGACAGAAATGTAAACAACATAGTATTTATTATCTTAGTATTTGTATTTATTTTTTTTGTTATCGGCAGAGATCGCGTGGCATTCGTAAAACAATCATTCCTTTTTTTTTGGCAGTATATGTTTAACCCGTCTTTCTAAGAAGGGTATACATATCACTTGGAAAACCAACCTTTGTTCCGAGGTCCGGCGGGCCGAGTGTCATATACCATTCGAATCAGCTTGACGAGATTGGAAAATGTTTGCATGTGTGTGTGCGTGTTCATCGGTGTGTTCCTCATTTTAACTGTTTAACTCCCCCCTACCACATGTAACCAAACATATTGTATTTAGCTAAGGCCTCTCCCCCTCTCCCAGGTGTAACGCGTAACACATTTTCTCCCAAGCAAGAGAAGGCATAAATGGCATTTATAATTGCCATCATAAAATGTATGCCTTTTTTAAGATAAAGTAGAGCAGTTCCGCGCAAAATGACGAATTGATCAGACTCGACCTTCTCCGATTCACGTGAAACTTTGCATAATTGTTTGATATGGGCAATCATCCACATTTGTGCCGACATTCGACCATTTAAAATCTTGATTTTTTTCTATATGGCGTATTTGACATTCTTCAATAAATCGTTTCACGAAAATGTCACCTTGTAAGTACTAGCCACCTCAGTTAAGAGCAATCCTGAGATTCCCTGACTACAATGGCCTCAAGGTCAGCACGCTTACCGAACTAGGTTTCCACGTGTCAAGACATGGTCACACTGGATACAGTAAAAAAACTTCTGCAGCACTTCACTTTTAAAAACTACCACTTTTATCGTCGGATTCTACTGAGACTTTTATTCCTCCCTAGCGTGTTACCATAGAGGTAACTCTAAGACCAGAAGGTCCCAAAATAACGTGCTCAACTTTTTGGCTCAGCTCTGGTACTCTCTTCGGTCCCAAGCTAATCGATTCACCTCTCGAAACATAGGAAAAACCTGGAAAAACCAATAACCCCTCATTTTATCTGTCAAACTTTCATAGCAAATCAAAACAAACATTGCGTAGTACTAGAATTTCGACTAGAATGGGATACGTTAATCGTTTGTTTGGGACCAATAGGCTAGTCAAGTAGTGAGCCAATTTAAAATCGTTAGTTTCGTATTGATTGTTGGTACTACTCCCAGTTTCTTAATTTCTATCTGACCTTTTTCTTTTGTCTTTCACTTCTTCTTCGGGGCCCCTCGCAGTTCCATCACCACGTTTCCTCGACGACTGCTACGCTTGGCTCCACGTTCCACCTTCTTCCTTTTACCCTTCGGCGGCGTTGGATACCTCCACTGAATTGCTACTGAACTTAACTTCTGATGCAGGCTAGGCCATCGAGTATGTTGACGGACTCGGCTTCGGCGGTTCGTGCCAGAACCTTTGCACCAAAATGATGATTCCGGGAATTTACCTGCTGTCCGTTTCTTGCACTCACTCTTCTTCACTTTCCTCTCACTATCTTCAACTATTTTCTGTCTGCACAGTAATGTTTTCTATTTTGTAGGCTTCGTTTTGTTTGATTATTTCATCAGAGACTTTATCGACCGTTTAACTCGATGGTTGTTTGATGATTGGCCTGATCGGTGTATGTAACCTAGAAAGACATTCTTTCGGTCACTGTCCTTTGACAATTGGTCAGTGACCCAGGCCATTCGTTTTCCACATTCTAAAAATTACTCGACACTGAGACGCGAACACTCACTACTTTAAATCGAAATGACGTCTGAGACACGAACTCATCGACCACCTCGATTTCGACAATCTGAACTCGGGGTGGGAAGCTAACATTGTCTTCACTAGAATCTCTTCCTCTCATGTATTTTGTCTTCGATGCGTTGATGGAGAGTCCAATCCGCCTACCTTCAGCCTTCAGTATGATGTATGTTTCCGTCATCGTCTCAAAGTTCCGTGCCATGATGTCGATGTCATTGGCGAAGCTGAGAAGCTGGATGGACTTCCTGAAGCTCGTGTCACTCGTGTCTATCCCAGCTCTTCTGATCAGGCATGGAAAATCATTTACATTCGTTTCATGCATTCATTTACATTCATTTGCCTCTAACTTTTTTCATCAACCGCATTCCTCAAAATGATGTACACTGGAACCTCCATTTACGAACCAAAACGGGGGTTCGTAAATCGAATTAGTGCGTAAACAAAAACCTCGTTATTTGGGATTTACTTCGTAAAAAGAAAACTCTTTATTTGGGATTTACTTCGTAAAAAGATGTTTTTGAAAATATTGTCAAATACCCCACAATATGGGTATTTTTGGATTCGGAGTGACGTGTAGGAACCGGAAATCGATGTCTGACGCCATTTTGAAATCCAAGATGGTGACTTCCGGTTACAGAAAAACTTGGAAATTCTGCCAATACCCCCACAATATGGGTATTTTTGGAATCAGGGTGATGTGCAGGGACCAGAAATCAATATCTGATGCCATTTTGAAATCCTAGATGACGACTTCCGGTTACATATAAACTTGGGAATTCTGTCAAATAGCCCACAATATGGGTATTTTGGAATCAGGGTGACGTGTAGGAACTGGAAATCTATGTTTGACGTCATCTTGAAATCCAAGATGGCGGCTTCCGGTTACAGAAAAGCCAGTGCTTCACCACCGTTTTTTAATAGCTCACTTGGTAGTTGATCTACACCAGTTGCTTTGTTGTTCTTCAGCCGACCGTTCTCCTCGTCAACTTCTTGAAAATCAAGGGCCGGTAGCCTGTCGTCTTCTGCGCGTCCTCCAAGGTCTGTTGACGTGCCACCTTCGTTTTCTGCTGCATCACCGTTGAGGTGCTCGTCATAGTACTGCTTCCACCTCTCAATCACCTCACACTCGTTCGTGAGAAGGTTTCCGTCCTAGTCCTTGCACATATCGACTTACGGCACGTAGCCTTTGCGCGAACTATTTAGCTTATCGTAGAACTTCCGTGGGTCTTTTACGCGGGACAGGTTTTCCATCGCCTCGCAATCTCGGTTTTCCTGCTGACGTTTCTTCCTTAGGTAAACCGAGTTTTGTCTGTTCTGCGCTTGTCTGTATCGCTTCACATTCAATCTCGTGCGGTGTAGCAGCATTCTCTGCATTCTTTTCCTCTACTAACAGTTTGCATTCGCCGTCAAACCAGTCATTTCTTCGGTCCGGGATCGCAATACCTAGTGCCGTTGCAGTAGTACTACCTATGGCGGAACGAATGTCCCTCCAGCCATCTTCAAGAGTAGCTGTGCCAAGCTGCTCTTCCGTGGGTAGTGCAGCTTCCAGCTACTGCGCGTAATCCTGGGCAATTTTGGCGTCCCGTTATTGCTCAATGTTGGGTCGCGGCGTTCGACTTAGACGGGTGTTATGCACCGTCGAGAGCTTTGAGCGCATGCATACTGCAACTAAGTAGTGGTCCGAATCTTTGTTCGCACTGCAGTACGTGCGGACGTTGATAATGTCGGAGGAGAATTTCCCATTGATTAGAACGTGATCGATTTGGTTTTCATTGTTTTTGTCGGGTGATCTTTAGGTTGCTTTGTGGATATCCTTGCGGGGAAAAAGGTTCTTCGGACTACCATACCACGGGAGGCTGCAAAGTTCACGCATCGTTGGCCATTGTCGTTCGATACGGCATGCAGGCTGTTTGGCCCGATTGCCGGTCTGTACATTGCCTCCCGTCGTACCTGACCGTTCATGTCGCCGATGACGATTTTGACGTTCCGTTGCCAACAGCCGTCCCACAGTGAGGTATTTATTAATTCTAGCTGGCTAAAAATATTTAACTTGCCACATACACCTTATTATTGACGGATGATAAAAAAAAATGTAAAAAAGGGGCGGAGTCGTTTTGGAGGGGGGCGGGGCATGTTATAATGATGTTTTTTTTTAAATTTACATGTCGTTAAGTATTCGTCGGATTAAGTTCCCGTCAAAGGATGAAATGTTGGGAAAAAATAATACTTTAAATTAAAAATACAAAAATACACTTACACCTGAAGTCAATCGAAAAGCACCAAAGGCCGAATTTTGCTTGCAAGCTAATTTAATTTTCCATGAACAAAAGGCCAAACTTTATGAAACTCCTGTCGGAAATTGGCGTTTAAAAATGTTCAAAATAATGGCATTTTCGAAATTCGAAATATTTCAAGATCCTTATTTAAAATTAATTTTTCGTACATTCACCATAGTTTGTTTTTGCATAACAATTTCAGCTTAACTGATCATAACCAATCATAATTACATCATGTAAAAGTTGACTAATTTATATGAAAATCCAGTTATGGTGCTATTTTCTTAGCCGCAGTTGTAAAAATTTATATGAAAATAAAAAATTGAAGAGTTTTTTTAACGTTTACAATCAGTCATTGTAAAATAAGTACAGCTTAAAAAGATAACATATATATATATTTAGAATTTGAAATTTAAGGTGAAAGTTGATGGAATCCACAAATGACCGCTATTTTGTTTATTTTGCCTTGCTACTTCAAAGTTTTGGCGGCACAGATCTCAAAAACTAAAAGGATTTCGTTTGTCAAATTATAGCTCACACACATATCATTACAATTTCATGTACGGAGACTTTGTAGTTTCTGAGATTCGTGCCGCCAAAAATTCGAAGTGGTGAGGCAAAATTAAAAAAGTAGCAGCCATTTGTGGATTCCATCAACTTTCACGTTAAGAAAAT